CTTGTCGGATGCCTGGCTTTTTCCAGCAGATATTTCGAATTGCTAAAACTTACCATCCATAAAGAAGCTCTACAACAGCTAAAAGCAGTCGGCATGACGAGGTGGTCGTATAGTTGCGCTAAGGGACTACTAATCCACTGCTCTGCCCTCGCGGGTTCAACTTGTCTCCTCGTCGGTGTCATTTTTTCCTGTTAAGATTTCTTGAATCGTTAAATTACGATCAATAGAAGTCTAACATGAAGTAGAAGGATGAGGTGGCTGAGACTCATAAGGCGCTGGTGATGTGACTGCTAATCATTGGGCTCTACCTGTGACTGACCGCATCCCTGCCGTGATCATTTTTTCCAAGATATCGAATTCAGTTAAAATTATGCGATCGATAGAAGTTCTGATCGCCATCTAGAAGACGAGGTGGCTGAGTAAGTTAAGGGTATGATGAATCATAATCCATTTAGCTGCCTGCCTGTAATTTGGAATCCTTGGTTTGATGTCTATTTTTTTTTTTCGTTGTATATCGAATTGCTAAAACTATTAACGAATCGGTAGTTTCAACATGAAAGCAACCCAAATAAGCATTGAGGTGGCTGAGTGGCTATGATGGATCAATCATGGGCTCCTGCCCAAGTAATTCAACCTCGTCAAAAGCTCATTTTTTCCGTTGCTGATTTTAAATTCGCTAAAATTACGATCAAGTCATGTGTTAAAGTCGGATAATTAAAGGCGAGGCGGCTGGAGTGTTTGCAGCGATGGACTGCTAATCCATTGGGCTCCTGCCCAAGTGAGGTTCGAATCCCTGTCGATGTCGGCCTTTTTCCGTTGATTTCCTGAATTCAAAATCTGACTGACATGTAAGAATGAGCAGGTTGACGAGGCAGCTGAGTAATATGATGGACAGTTAACCATTGGGCCTTGCCTGCGGTTCGAACCCATCCTGGATGCTCCATTTTTTCCGTTACATATATCGAATTCAAACTACGGTCCAAATGGGAAGCTCTTCAATAGCTGAGAAAGGCAAATCAAATACAAGGACGAGGTATTGAGTGGCATAAGGGAGATGACTGCTAACTATTTGGGGCTCTGCCTGCGGGTCTAAATCCCATCCTCGTCGGGTTCCATTTCTTTCCGTTGCATGATTCAACGCTGTTAAATTACGATCAATAAGTATGAAGCTCCAAGCCAGCTGGTGCTATGAGGGCCGAAAGCGGTTATACATGGACTATAACTATCACCTGCCTGGTTCGAACCCATCCTTGCCGCATGCCCCATTTTTTTCCGCGGAAGACTTGAATCTGCTAAACTCTAGATCGACAAGAAGCTCCTGGATGATGCAGGCTTAATAGAGGTCGAGTTGTAAAAGCACATTGACCGCTAATCCATTAATACCGCCCGCGAGGGTTAGAACCCATCCCACCGGATGCTCATTCTTCCGTTATATCGAATTCGCTAAACTACTCATCCGGCAAGGAAGTTTCACAACAGCCAGAAAGCAACGCAGCGCAAGCGACGAGGGGTGGGCTGATGGGTTATGCCATGGAACAATAATCCACCGCTCTCTGCCCGCGTGGGGTCTGGAATGTCCTGTCGGGTGTCACTTTTTTCCTGCCAGATTCTGGAAATCTGTTAAATTGCTGACTACCATAGGGAAGCTCTGCCAGGTTACGAGGGCTGACTGAGCTATGGCGCGAGGACCAAGTAATCCACTCCCTGGGCTCCCGTCTGCGGATCTTGAGTGCCATCCCCACGGATGACTTACTTTTCTTCCGTTAAGAATACTACTGAATCTCAAGCAATTGGGTGACTGATATAGAAGCCTGATTCATCTAGAAGCTTAATTGAGTGGCTGGAGTGGCTGCTATTTGATCGTTAACCATTGGGCTCTGCCCAAGTGTGGGTTCGAACCCCATCCCTGCTCTAAGTTTTCATTTTTTCCAAGCATTCTGAATTCAAAGAAGATCTACGATCAACATAGGAAGTTCTGCATTAGCTAGGAAGTTATTGAGGCAATGAAAGGTTGGTATCCTGACCGGTGTTCGAGGCATTTTTAAAAATAACTTATATACTTTTAACAAGCACGTTTAACTGTATATGTTGCAAAACTTATATAATATTTGTAAATTAAGTTTCTGCAAAATAAGGCTTTTTTTAAAACTATAAATTTGAAGTAAATGACTCAAAATATATTTGGTCCATGCTAACTGCCAAGGGACAAAATCATATCTAAAAATATAAGAACCCTTTAGGGAGTACATTTTCTTTCTAAGACAGTTATTCCAAGGTTATGTTCTAAATATTTCTTTAAATAAAGTTGCTGAGATATAGCGAACATAGTTTCTAAAACTGATAATTTTCAAAAAATGCTTTCGCTTATATTTTAAACAATTTAAAAATATTACTGATTTTTCAAAATTGACCTTATTTTGTAGAGAAATATCAAGCAGTAATATAGAAACAATCTTGAAGATTTCATACATTATTTTTATAACGTTTGAGAAATCATTGTTGCAATGACAGTTATCCTGTTCATCACTGAAAAATTAAATTTGTTAAAGAACTAAGAATGTTGCTTACAGTTCGGAAATAAAACACAGTAACCTACTTGTAATTCACAGAGTGTGAAGAGAGACAGTTTGTAAGTTGACAACTACAAAATTGGGCTTGCTAAAAGTGACACTACCAAATTGATTGATTAAACCAATGGATACCTTAAGGATGGATCACATAATCCTAATAATGCCTGCGCGGGTTTTGAATCCACCTTCCTTGTCGGATGCTCCTTTTTCCGTTGGTGATTTGAACCTGTTAAATTACGATCAAACAGGAAGCTCACTACCTAGAAGGATTTAGGCAGTCAGCATGGCAAGGAGAACTGCTAATCCATTGATGGCTCTGCCTGGGTTCGGAGTCCCATCCCTACCGGGTGCCTTATATTTTTCCGTTAAGATTCGAATTTCAATAAATTCGGAGATATAGGGCTCGCACAGATGAAGACACTGATGACGAGCGAGTAAAGGCGATGGACGGCAATTCATTGGGCTCGCCCGCGTGGGATTTCGAACTGTCCATCTCGTCGGATGCCATTTTTTTCCGCTTTAAGATATCGAATTCGTTAAATTGCATGATCGATATAGGAAGCCTCTGATCATCGTGGCGACGAGGCGCGGAGTGGTTAAGGCTATTGACGCTAACATACTGGGCTCTGCCCATGCTGGGTCTGAATCGAACTCGTCGGTGCTCATTTTTTTTTCCTTAAGCATACTTACAGAAATTCGTACAGGGAAGCCTGATTAGCATATGAACGACGAAATAAGGGTTAAGGTATCCTGACTGTGTTCGGAGGCATTTTTGAAAAATAACTTATATATATTTTAATGTTATTTTTTCAACGTATATGTTGTAAAACTATGAAAGTTTATTGTAAAAATTCAAGTTTTCACAATATTTTTAAAAACTGAGAAATTTGTAAGTAAATGACAAAAAATTGTCTTTACGCTAATCGCTGACAAAATCATATCAATTGGACTACAAAACTCTTTAGGAGTACATTTTTCTATGACAGTAGAGTGTTATACCAAATAGCTTTTTATGTCAAAATAGTTTTGGTATAGGCTGAACATAGTTCTAAACTGATAATTTTTCATAAAAAAATGCTTTGTTCATATTTAAACGACTAATAAATTAATTTGATTTTAAAATTGACCTGTTTAGAGGAAAGCATCCATACAGAAAACAATTCAGAAGGATTTATTATTATACTTTATAACCGTTTGAGAAATCATTGTACGTGATTATTCAGAAACAGTCATTTCCAGAAACACCTTTAAATTCTGTTATGCAACTAAGAACAATGCTAGTGTCTGAAATAAACAGTTGTAACTCCATTGTGAATTCACGCTAGAGTAAAAAAGAGAGAAGTTTTAGAAAAGCTGATAAAATGCCTACAAAATTGTCATAAAATGTTTTTGATAATTCTTCAAAATCGACGATTTAAACCAGTTTCGATACCTTAAGGTTGATGGACTGGTTAACTCCACTGGCTCTGCCCGCGTGGGTTCGGAATCCCATCCCGTCGGATACCCTTTTCCTGTTAAGATTAACCTGTTAAATTACGATCAAATAGGGAAGCTCCTGCACAATGAAGCGACGAGGTGGCTGAGTGTTGGCATGATGAACTGTTAACTACTGGCCTTACCTGCCAACGGAGTCCCATCCTCGTCGGGTGCCTGGCATTTTCCGCCAAGATTTCGGAATCTGTTAAAGGATATTATAGGAAGCTCACAACTGCTGAACGTATCACAACCAAGAGACGAGAGGCCGACAGAGAAGGAACAAGTAATCCATTACTATTCTGCTCATGGGTCTGAACTCCCATCTTCGTCGGATACTCATTTTTTCCAAGTTAAGATATCGATCTTCGTTAAATTACGATCGATACAGGAAGCTCCTGCATCAGCTAGAAGCGACGAGGCATTGGAGTGGTTAAGGCGATGGACTGTTAATCCATTGGCTCCTGCCTGCGTATGAAAAAAAAAAAAAAAAAAAAAAAAAAAAAAAAAAAAAAAAAAAAAAAAAAAAAAAAAAAAAAAAAAAAAAAAAAAAAAAAAAAGTCTGAATCCTATCCCCGTCGATGCTCATATTTTTTCCGTTGATATCAATCTACACTTACGATCGATATAGGAAGCCTGTTCAGGAAGCGCGACGAGGCTGAGTGGTTAAGGCGATGGACTGTTAATCCATTGGCCTGCCCCTTGAGGGTCTGAATTCCATCCTTGTCGGATGTCTGGTTTATCCGTTAAGTGATACCGAATTCGGCACCATGATCGATATAAGAAGCCTGACGATATAGGAAGGACGAGGTGGCTGAGTGTCGGCGATGGACTGCTACTGGCCTTGGGTTCGCTTGCGTCTGAACCGCATCGGAAGTCTCCCATTTTTTTCCACAGATTAATTGTTAATTTACGTGATCGGTTGTAGAAGCTCTGGCTTTCATCGAAGCGACGAGGTGGGCTGGAGTGGTTGCTATATGATGAACTTGCTAACTACTGGGTCAGCTCCGTCTGAAAACCCATCCTCGTCGGTGCCTATTTTTTCCGTTGGTGATTGCCCGTTAAATTACGATAGCTACAGGAAGCCTGCATCAGCTGCTGGAATCGACGACAGTGACCAGTGTTAGGGCGATGACTTTAATCCATTGGGCTCTGCCCGCGTGGGTTCGAATCCTCCATCTCTCGAGTCATTTTTTCCGTTAGATATCGAATTCGTTAAATTTATGATTGATATGTTGTAGCTCCTGATCATCTGTAGAGCGGAGGTTTCCGGAGTGGGTTAAGGCGATGGACTGCTAATCCCATTGGCCTGCCCGCGGGTAGACCATCTGTCGGATGCTCAAAATAATTCTTCCGTGTGAATATCATTCTTTCGCTAATCTACGACCATAAATTACGATCAGATATAGGAAGCTCTGTAATAGGTAAGCGACGAGGTGGCGGTGGTTAAGGCGATGGACTGCTAATCCCATTGGGCTCTGCCACTGGGTTCGAATCCCATCTTCGTCGGGTGCTCATTTTTCCCGTTAAGATTTCGAATTCGTTAAACATGATCAATATAGGAAGCTCTGCGCAGTCAGCGACGAGGTGGCCGAGGTTATGATGGACTGCTAACCATTGGGCTCTCCGCGTTCTGAATCCCATCCTCGTCGGATGATCTTTTTTCCGTTAGATTTCGAATTGGTTAAATTACGATCATAAGGTGCCTGCGTAGCCATCTAAGCGACGAGGTGGCCGAGGGTTAAGGCGATGAGACTGCTAATCCATTGGGCTCTGCCCCGTGGGTTCGATGCCTCTCTGTCGGATGACTTTTTTCTCCGTTAAGATATTCGTTAAATTACGACTGATACAGGTAAGCCAAGCATCAGGTAGAAGCGACGGTGGGCTGAGTGGTTAAATGACTGCTAATCCATTGGGCTCTGGTGCGGGTTCGAATCCATCTCGTCGGATGATCATTTTTCCGTTAAGATATCGAATTCGTTAAATTGTTACGATCGATAAGGAAGCCTGATATATGAAACGACGAGGTGGCCGGAGTGTTTAAAGCGATGGACTGCTAATCATTGGGCTCTGCCTGCGTGGTTCGAATCCCATCCTTGTCGGATGCCATTTTTTCCTCTAAAATCGGAATTCGTTAAGTACGATCGATAAGGAAGCTACACAGATGAAAGAACAGCAGCAAGCGACAAGTGGCTTAGGCATAAGGCGATGACCTTAACTACTGGGTCGCCGCGTGGGTTAATCCATCTCGTCGGATGCATTTTTTTCCGTTATAGATATCGAATTCTAAATTACAGATCATAGGAAGTATCGCATTAGCTAAAACGACGAGGTGGCCAGTGGTTAAGGATGGGACTACATCCTAACATTGGCCTGCGCGTGGATTCATCCTCGTCGGATGCCTACTTTTTTCCGAGATATCGAATTCGTTAATTACGATCATATAGAAGTCTATCATCTAGAAGCACGGAGGCGGCTGAGTGGTTAAGGCGGATCTGCTAATCCATTGGGTCTGCCCGCGTGGGTTAGAACTGCATTCTGTCGGATTTCTTTTTTCCGTTAAGATTACGAATTCTTAAACTACGATCACATAAGAGAAGCTCTCAACATGAAAGCAACAGCAAGCAGACGAGGTGGCTGAGTGGTTAAGGCGATGGACTTTGGGCTCTGCCGCGTGGGTTCGAATCCCATCTTCGTCGGATGCTCATTTTTCCGTTAAGATTTTCGAATTCGTTAAATTACATCATTACAGGAAGCTCTGACAATCTAGTAAAGCGCGAGGTGGTTATATAAGGATGAGACTGCTAATCCTCATTGCCTCGTGGGTTGAGTCCCATTCTGTCGATGATCATTTTTTCCTAGATATCGAATTCGTTAAATTACGATCGATATAGGAAGCTACGTGCAGAAGCGACGAGGCTGGAGTGTGGCTAAGGCATGGACTGCTAATCCATTGGGCTCTGCGCGTGGGTTGAATCCCATCCCGTCAGTCTCATTTTTTCCGCTTAAGATATCGAATTCGTTAACATGATCATATAGGAAGCTCTGCACAGCGACGAGGATGGCCGAGTGGTTAAGGCGATACGCTAATCCATTGGGCCTGCCGCGTGGGTTCGATCCCATCTCGACGATCCTTTCAGCTAATTGAATCTCTAAATCTTGATCAATATAGAAGCTCTGCATTGAAGCGACGAGGTAGCCAGAGTGGTTGGCAAGGATGACTGCTAATACATGGGCTCTGCCCTGGGATTGAACTCTCCCTCGTCGCGATGTCTGTTTCATCTCCGTTAAGATATCGAATAGGTTAAATTACGATCGATAAGAAGCTCCTGGTAGAAGCGACGAGGTGGGCTGAGAGTGTGTAAGGCGATGGACTGCTAATCCATTGGGCTCTGCCTGGTGGTTCGAGAATCCCATCCTGTCGGATGCTCATTTTTTCCGTTAAGAATCTGTTAAACTACGATCCATAAAGAAAGCCTAACAACAGCTGAAAGCAAAGCACTAAGAGAGTGGCTGAGTGGTAAGGCGACAGGACTGCTAACCATTGGGCTCTGCCTTGGGTCTGAATCCATCCTCGTCGGGTGCTCATTTTTTCCGTTAGATTCGAATTCGTTAATTACGATCAATATAGGAACTCCTAATAGCTAGAACGACGACATGGTTAGCAAAGCGATGGACTGTAATCCAATGGGCTCTGCCCGCGGGTTCGAACTCATCCCTGTCGGATGCTCATTTCTGCCGATATCGAATTCGTTAAACTACGATACGTAAAGGAAGCTCTTCAACAGATGAAAGCAACGCAAGATAAGCGACGAGGTGGCCGAGTGGTTAAGGAGAAGGAATGCTAATCCATTGGGCTCTGCCCGCGGGTTTGAATCCCATCTCTCGGATCTTTTTTTTCCAGTAGATATCGAATTGCTAAATTTCGATCATATAAGAAGCCTTCCTGATAATTACCTAAAAGCGACGAGGTGGCTGAGTGGTTAAGCAGGGATGGACTGCTAATCCATTGGCTCTGCCCGCGTGGGTCTGAACTTGATCGTCGTGACTCATTTTTCCTGTTAAGATCGAATTCGTTAAATTACGATCATATAGGAAGCTCTGCATCAGCTGAAGCGACGAGGTGGCCGAGGGTTGGCAAGGATGGACTGCTAATCCATTGGCTCTGCCCGCGTGGGTCTGAATCCATCCTCGTCGGATCGCATTTTCCGTTAAGATTTTCAATTCGTAATTTACGATCGATATAGGAAGCTCTGCAATCATCTAAGCGACGAGGTGGCCGAGTGTATAGGCGATGGACTGCTAATCCATTTCTGCTTGAGGGTTCAAATCCCATCCGTTGGATGTTCAGTTTTTCCGTTAAGATACGAATTGCTAAATTCGATCGATATAAGAAGCTCTGGATATAGTAAGCGACGAGGTGAGTGTTTAAGGCGATGGACTGCTAATCCATTGCTCTCTGCCGCGTGGGTTGAACTCCCATCTGGATGCCTCATTTTTCCGTTAAGATTCGAATTCTTAAATACGATCCATAAAGGAAGCTCTATCTGAGCAACAGACAGCGACGAGGGCGGAGTGGTTAAGGCGATGGATCTAATCCATTGGGCTCTGCCCGTGGGTTCGAATCCCATCTCTGTGTCATTTTTTTCCGTTAAGATATCGAATTTGTTAATACGATCAATATAGAAGCTCTGCATAGCATGAGCGACGAGTGGCTGAGTGGGTAAGGCGATGGACTGTAATCCATTGGGCTCTGCCGCGTGGGTCTGAGTCCCATCTGTCGGATCATTTTTTTCCGTTAAGATATCGAATTCGTAAATTACGATCATATGGAAGCCTGCACTTGTAGACGAGGTGGCGAGGTTAAGGCGATGGACTGCTAATCCATGTTCTGCCTGCGTGGGTTGAACCCATCCTCGTCGGGCCTATTTTCCGTTAGATTTCACGTTAAATTAAGACTGATATAGGAATCTCTGCATTAGCTAGACGCGACGAGGTGGCCGAGTGGTTAAGGCGAAGGACTGCTAATCCATTGGGCTCTGCCGCGGGTTCGAGTCCCAACCTCGTCGGAGATCCTTTTTTTCAAGATGAATCTTCTAAATTACGATCAATAGGAAGCTCTGCATATCTAGAAGGAGAGGTGGCGAGTGGTTAAGGCGATGGACTGCTAATCCATTGGCTCTGCCCCAGGTTGAATCCCATCCTTCGGATCATATCCTTAAGATACTGATTCTGTTAAATTTATTGACTATAAGAAGCTCTGGATGATATAGAGCAAGACGAGTGGGCGAGGTTTAAGGCGATGGACTGTAATCCATTGGCTCTGCCGCGTGGGTTCAGAATCCATCCTTGTCGGAGCTCATTTTTTTCCGTAAATATATCGATTTAAACTACGATCCATAAAGGAAGCTCTACAACAGTGAAAGCAAACAGCAGCTGCGACGAGGTGGCGAGTGTAAGGCGATGGACTGTAATCCATTGCTCTGCGGGTCTGAATCCCATCTTCGTCGGGTCTCATTTTCCGTTAAGATTCGAATCTCGTTAAATTACGATCAATAGGAAGCTCTGCATAGCTAGAAGCGAGAGGTGAGTGGTTAAGCTAGCTAACCATTGGGCTCTGCCTGCGGGTTCGATCCCATCCCTGTCGGATGTATCTTTTCCGTTAGATTCTAATCTCTTAAATTACTGATCAGGGAAGCTTGCATCAGGTGTAGCGACGAGGTGGCTGAGTGGTTAAGCATGGACTGCTAATCCATTGGCTCTGACGTGGTCTGAACTCCATCTCGTCGGAATGCTCATTTTTTCCGTTAGATTATCGAATCTGTTAAATTCGATCATATAGGAAGCTCCATAGCTAGAAGCTGACGAGGATGGCGAGTGTTAAGGCGATGGACTGCTAACTCCAAGTGGGTCTTGGGTCCCATCCTCGGTTGCGATCCTTTTCCGTTAAGATTTCGAATCTCTAAATCATGACAATATAGGAAGCTCTGTGGCCACTAGAAGCGACGAGGTGGCGAGTGGTTGGATAATAGCAATCCATTGGGCTCTGCCCTGGGGATGAATCCCATCTTTTGATGCTACTTTTTTCCTGTAAGATATCGAATTCTTAAATACGATCAAATAAAGCTCTCACAATAAAGTAGCAGCGCGAGGGGTGGCCGAGTGGTTAAGATGACTGCTAAACCACATTCGCGTGGTCTGATCATCCTCTCGATGCTTCATTTTTTCCGTTGGATCTGAATTGTTAAAATCACGATCCATAGGACCCTCATCAGCTAGAAGAGACAGCTGAGTGGTGAAAGGATGGACTGTAATCCATTCCCGCACTGGTTCTGAACCTCTGTCGGATGCTCATTTTTCCGTTAGATATCGAATTCTTTAAACACGATCCATAAGGAAGCTCTCTCAACAATGAAAGCAAGCAGATAATGACGAGGTGGCTAGTGGTTAAGGGAAGGAATGCAATCCATTGGCTCGGCTCCGCGTGGTTCGAACCTACACTTCGTCGATCCATTTTTTTCCGTTATGAATTGTTAAATTACTGATCATATAGGTGCTTAGCAGCATCATCTAAGAGGTGGCGAGTGGTTAGAAGGATGGACTGACTAATAGGGCATCGCACCAGAATCCCATCCTCGTCGATGTTTTTTTCCTGTACTGATCTCTAAATTACGACTGATATATGGAAGCTATCTGCAGTATGACGGAGGTGGCCGAGTGGTTAAGGCGATGGACTGCTAATCCATTGGCTGCCTGCGCTGGGTTCGAAATCCCATCCTCGTCGGATGATCATTTTTCCAGATTTCAAATTCGTTAAATATTACGATCATATAAAAGTCTCAGCGACGAGGTGGCGAGTTTAGGCGATGGACTCAATCCATTGGGCTCTGTGGGGTTCAATCCCATCCTTCGTCGGTGCCTATTTTCCGTTAAGATTTCGAATTCGTTAAATTACGATCATATAGGAAGCTCTGCAAGAGACACGACGAGGTGGCTGATGGTAAGGCGATGGACTGCTAACTCATTGGCTCTGCCCGCGGGTTGAATCCCATCCTTGTCGGAATCATTTTCCTTAAGTAATATCGAATTCGTTAAATACGATCACAGGAAGCTATAACAGTAGAAGCGACAGGCTGGAGTGGCTGGGCGATGGACTGTAATCCATTGGGCTCTGCCCGCGTGTCTGAACTCATCTTCTCGGGTGCTTATTTTTTCCGTTAAGATTTCACGTTAAATTACGATCAATATAGGAAGCTCTGTAGCTAGCAGCCGAAGGTGGCGAGTGGTTAAGGATGGACTGCTAATCCATTGCCTGCCTGCTGGGTTCGAATCCTCCTTTCGGATGCTCTATATTTTTCCGTTAAGATATCGAATTCTTTAAACTACGATCCATAAAGGAAGCTCTACAACAGATGAGCAGCAGCATAAGCGACGAGGACGGACAAGGGTTGGGAAGATGGACTCTAACGGCTCTGCCTGCGGGTTCGAATCATCTCTCGTCGGGTGCATTTTTTCCGTTAAGTATCGAATTCGTTAAATTACGATCAATATAGAAGCTCTGCATTAGCGAAGACAGGAGCGAGTGGTTAAGGCGATGGACGTTAATCCATTGGGCTCTGCCTGCGGGTTCGAGTCCATCCTTCGTGGATGCCTTTTTCCGTTAAGATTCGAATTGTTAAATTACGATCACATAGGAAGCCTGCACTATCAGCGAACGAGAGGCAATAGTACTAAGGCGCATGGACTGCTAACTACTGGGCTCTGCCCGGGGTTCAGTCCATCCTCGTCGGATGTCTATTGCCAAGATATCGACTCTTAAATTACTATCGATATAAGCAAGCTAGAAGCGCTGGATGTATAGAGCGACGAGGGGCGAGTGCTTTGGCGATGGACTGCTAACTACTGGGCTCTGCCCGGTTGAGAACTCATCCTCGTCGATGCTATACTAAGTTAAGATTCGAATTCGTTTAAATCATCGATCATAAGGGTCTCACACGATAGACAGAGCGACGAGGGGCCGGGAGGTAAGGCGATGGACTGCTAATCCATTGGCCCTGCCTTGAGGTCTGAATCCCATCTCCCTCGTGCCTATTTTTTTCCGTTAGATTTCGAATTCGTTAGAATTACGATCATATAGGAAATCTGTCTATAAAGCAGAACGACGACTGGCTGGAAGTGTTAAGGCGATGGATCGCAATCCATTGGGCTTCTCCGCGTGGGTTGAATCCCATCCCTTGGATGCTCATTTTTCCGTTAGGATATCGAACTTTCTAAACCACGATCAAAGGAAGCTCTTACAACAGATGAAAGCAACAGCAAGTAAGCGACGAGGTCGGAGTGGTTAAGGAGAGGAATCTTAACTCTGGGCTCTGCCTGCTACTGGAATCCCATCTCGTCGGTGCCTATTTTTCCGTTAAGATTCTGAATTCTAAATTAGATCAATATAGAAGCCTTGCAAATAGCAGGCGACGAGGCGCTGGAGTGGGTTGGAGGCATTAGCCAATCCATTGGGCCTGCCCTTCGTAGGTTTCGGAACCCATCCTCGTCGGATGGCCATTTTCCGTTAAGATATCGAATTCTCTAAATTCTCGATCGATAAGCTAAGCTTCAAAAAAGCGACGAGGTCGGGCTGAGTGGTTAAGGCATGGACTGCTAACCATGGACCTGCCGCGTGGTCTGAATCCCATCTCGTCGGATGCTCATTTTTTTCTCTACATATCTAATCTCTAAATTACGATCGATATAGGAAGCCCTGCATCAGCTAGAAGTCGACGAGGTGGCCGAGTGGTTAAGGCGATGGACCGCTAACCCATTACTGGCCTGCCTGGGTTCGAACTCATCCCCGTCGGATCCATTTTTCCGTTCGATTTCGAATCTGTTAATTACGATCGATATAGAAGCTTCCACCGATCCAAGCGACGAGGTGGCATAGGGTTAAGGCGATGGACTGGTTAATCCATTCTCTGCCCTGCGCAAGAACTCATTCTCGTCGGATGCCTATTTTTCCGTTAAGATATGAATTCGCTAAATTACGATCGATATAGGGAAGCTCAATCAGTAAAGCGACGAGGTGGCCAGGTAAAGGCGATGGACTGCTAATCCATTTTGACTGCGGTTCGGAATCCCATTCACGTCGATACGACTGATTTTTCTCCGCGATATCGAATTCGTTAAAATTACGATCGATATAAGGCGAACTGCATGCCAAAGCGACGAGGCCGGAGTGGTTAAGGCGCATGGACTGCTAATCCACAGGCCCTCGCCCGCGGGGTTGAGTCCCTTGTCGCGATGACTCATTTTTCCGTTAGATATCGAATTCTAAATACGATCATAAAGGAAGCTCTGCATGGGCGAGCTTTAAGAGGGTGGAGGGTTAAGGCGATGGACTGCTAATCCACTGGGCTCTGACCTCGTGGAAATCTTCTCGGGTCATTTTTTCCAAGTAAGATTCGAATTCGTTAAATTACGATAATATGGAAGTCACAATCATGAATATTGCCAACAGAGCGACGAGAGTGGCTCAGGTAAGGGAGGAACTGCTCAAATCCATGTCTCCTGTGGTTCGGCCCTTTGACCATCTCGTCGGATGACTGCTTTTTCCGTTATAGAATCTGTAATTACGATCAAACGATCATAGAAGCTTGCACAGAAGACGACGAGGTGGCCAGAGTGGTTAAGGCGATGGACTTAACCCATTGGGCCTACTGCGTAAGTTGGAATCCCATCCCGATCGGATGCTCCATTGTTTCCGTTGATTTCAGTCGTTAAATTACACAATAGAAGCTCGGCATTAGCTAGAGCGACGAGGTGCCGAGTTAAGCGAGGACTGAACCCAACTTGGGCTCTGCCTGCTGGGTCTCGAATCCCATCTCTCGTCGGATACTCATATTTTTTCCGTTAAAAGATCGAATCTGTTAATTCATTCATTCTAATCATACAAGATACCACTGCATGATTTATATGTTTCTCTTAATCAAGAAACTCAGAGACCGAGGTACGAGCGGCCGAGTGTTTAGGCGATAGACTACATAATAGGTGCACTTCTGCCCGTGGAGATTCGAATCCCATCCTGTCGGATGCTACCATTTTCTCCGTTAAGATATCGAATTCTTTAGCTTACGATCGCAAAGAAGCTCTGCAATCAGTATGGCTGTTACTTGCAGCTAGCACGAATCCAAGGCTTAAGGATGACCTTGAATCCATTGGCTCTGCCCGCGTTGAGAATCCCATCCCTTCGCCGGAGTGCCTCATTTTTTCCAGCAGATTGGAATTCGTTAATTTTACGATCGACAGGAAGTCTGCATCATCTAGAAGCGACGAGGTGGCTGGAGTGGTTAAGGCGATGGACTGCTAATCCACCACTCTGCCCTCGTGGGTGCGGAGTTCCTTTCTTGCCAGAAGATCATTCTTTTTTCACAGCGCATATCGACTTCTGCTAAATTACGATCAGATATAGGAAGTTTCTTCTTCTCTGCATTACCCAGCGACGAGGCTGAGGGTTAAGGATGAAACTGCTATTGGGCCTACCGTACGTCTGAGTCCCATCCTCGTCGGGTGCCTATTTTCCGTTAAGATTCTCAATCTATAAAATTATAGAAGCTCTGCACTACTAGAAATCGAAGGACACATGAAAATAAGGGCGAGACTACAATCCACACCGCCTGTGGGATTATCCCATCTCGTCAAGAGCTGACTATTTTTCCGTTGTTAAGATATCGGAACACTAAATTCATGATCGATAAGTAAGCTCTGATTCCACCTGGTAAAGGAAGAGGCTGAGTGGGTTGGCATGGACTGCTAATCCATTGGGCTCTACCCGTGTGGGTTCGAATCCCATCTTCGTCGGATGCTCATTTTTTTCCGTTAAGATATCGAATTCGTTAAATTATGATCGATATAGGAAGCTCTGATTCATCTAGAAGCGACGAGGTGGCCGAGTGGTTAAGGTATCCGACTGTGTTCGGAGGCATTTTTTTGAAAAATAACTTATATATATTTTTTAATGTTATTTTTCAACTGCATATGTTGTAAAACTATGAAAATATTGTAAAATTAAGTTTTCAAAATAATATTTTTTTTAAAAAACTGAGAAATTTGAAGTAAAATGACTAAAATATTTGCCTTACGCTAACTGCCATGGACAAAATCATATTCAAAATATACATAAATCCTTTTAGGAGTACATTTTCATGACAGTTATCTATGTTATGCTCTAAAATATTTCTTGTACTTCAAAATAGTTTTGAGATATAGCTGAACATAGTTTCTAAACTGATAATTTTTCATAAAAAATGCTTTTCGTTTATATTTAAACACTTAAAAATATTACTTGATTTTAAAATTGACCTTTGTTTTTAGAGGGAAACATCAAGCATATTACAGAAAACAATCTCAGAAGATTTCATATTAATACTTTTATAACGTTTTGAGAAATCATTGTTACGGTCGACAGTTATCCTCAAAAACATCATTTCTCAGAAAACACCTTTAAATTTGTTATGCAACTAAGAACAATGCTTACAGTTCGGAAATAAAACAGCTGTAACTCCATTTGTAATTCACGTAGAGTAGAAAGAGAGACAGTTTTAGAAAGCTGATTAAACTGGCTACAAAATTAAGTCATAAAATGTTTTTTGATAATTTCATCAAAATCGACGATTTTAAACCAGTCGGATACCTTAAGGCGATGGACTGCTAATCCATTGGGCTCTGCCCGCGTGGGTTCGAATCCCATCCTCGTCGGATGCTCATTTTTTTCCGTTAAGATTTCGAATTCGTTAAATTACGATAGATATAGGAAGCTCTTCATCAGCTAGTTTCGACGACATGGCCGAGTAGTTAAGGAGATGGACTGCTAATCCATTGGGCTCTGCCCGCGTGGGTTCGAATCCCATCCTCGTCGGATGCTCATTTTTTTCCGTTAAGATTTCGAATTCGTTAAATTACGATCAACATAGGAAGCTCTGCATCAGCTAGAAGCGACGAGATGGCCGAGTGGTTAAGGGATGGACTGCTAATCCATTGCTCTGCCGCGTGGAGTTCAGATCCATCCTTGTCGGATGCTATTTTTTCCGTTAAGATATCGAATTCGTTAAACTACGATCGAGGCTCTACAACTGTGAAAGCACGCAACTAGAGACGAGAGGGCCGAAGGATAAGAAGATATAATGTGGCTCTGCCGCGTAGGTTCAATCCCATCTTCGTCGGATACTCATTTTTTCCGTTAAGATATCGAATTCGTTAAATTACGATCGATATAGGAAGCTCTGCATCAGCTAGAAGCGACGAGGTGGCCGAGTGGTTAAGGCGATGGACTGCTAATCCATTGGGCTCTGCCCGCGTGGGTTCGAATCCCATCCTCGTCGGATGATCATTTTTTCCGTTAAGATATCGAATTCGTTAAATTACGATCGATATAGGAAGCTCTGCATAGCAGCAAACGACGAGGTGGCCGAGTGGTTAAGGCGATGGACTGCTAATCCATTGGGCTCTGCCCTTGAGGGTTCGAATCCCATCCTTGTCGGATGTTCAGTTTTATCCGTTAAGATATCGAATTCGTTAAATTACGATCGATATAGGAAGCTCTGCATCAGGTAGAAGCGTCAAGGTGGCCGAGTGGTTAAGGCGATGGACTGCTAATCCATTGGCTCTGCCCGCTGTTCGAATCCTCCTTGTCGGATGTTCATTTTTTCCGTTGATTCGAATTCGTTAATACGATCAATATAGGAAGCTCATCATTAGAAGCGACAAGGTGGCCAGTGGTTAAGGCGATGGACTGCTAATCCATTGGGCTCTGCCGGTGGGTTCGAATCCCATCTTCGTCGGATGTCATTTTTTCCGTTAAGATATCGAATTCGTTAAATTACGATCATATAGAGCTCAGTTAATCAGAGCGACGAGGTGGCCGGTGGTTAAGACGGGTTCGCTAATCCATTGTGCCTGCGTCGCTTTACGAATCCATCCTCGTCGGATGCTCTTTTTTGTTACGATATCGAATTCGTTAAATTACGATCAATATGGAAGCTCTGCTGCTTCTGCCAGGCGACGGGTGGCCAGTGGTTAAGGCGATGGACTGAACCTAATCCATTGCTCTGCCAGGTTTCGAATCCATCTCGTCGGTTGCTCATTTTTCCGTTAGATTTACAATTCTTTAAATTACGATCAATATGAGTCTGCATGCTAGAAGCTGACGAGGTGGCAGTGGATTAAGCGATGGACTGCTAATCCATTGTGCTCTGCCGCTGGTTTCGAGATCCCATTCCTCGTCGGATGCTCATTTTTTCCGTTAAGATTTCGAATTCGTTAGAACATTTGATAATGGAATCTCTTCATAAGCTCAACGCAGCGAGGTGGCCAGTGGCTAGGCGATGGACTGCTAATCCATTGGAGCCTGCCGCCGTGGCATCCTCGGTCGAGATGATCCTTTTTCCGTTAAGATATCGATTCGTTAAGATTGATGATATAGGAGCTCTGCATCAGGTTAGAAGCGACGATGCGTGGCCAGTGGTTAAAAGCGATGACTGCTAATCCATTGAATCCCTTGGAGTCGAATTCCCATCCTCCATTCGTACACGATTTCATTTTTCGATTAAGATCTTCAATTCAGTTAAATTACGATCAATATGGAAA